ATAAATCAAAAGCGGTTGCGTGGCCGGTGGTTGTCCTTCCACAAAACTATTGATTGAGCACAAGAGGATGAGCCCAAGAAGGAACGGGACACCATTATTGACCAACATGTCCGATAAAGCTTAATCTTAGTAAAAGAAGATCTATGCAAAGAGAGAAATAGCAAGTCGGTTGGGCTCCAGAGCTTCAGACACGCTTTGAGTCACGGCTTCCACCAAGATGCTTTTATTAGAGGTTGCTCTTTAGTCCCATGCTCCAAGTAACCAGACTGCAAGATACTTGCGGCTGAGATACTATCAATCTGTTCATTGGCCTCCTGCACCAAGGGGAGACATCGATGGGTGGTACCATACCGGTCCATCGTCTTGTTTCCAGCCCGCCTAGGTAGACAGGTCTTTGTAGACCGGTAGCTCATGTGGTCACAAGGCTTTCGCACGTGACTGGGTAAAGACTTTGCTCAGATGGGTGGTCAGCAAATTTCGAGAATGGTGACATTGGTAGGTTCGGCTCGTAAGCCACGAGCAACCATCACATCAGCGCTAATTTGGAAGTAATTACAGAAGTCGTCAAGGAAGGGTGAGATTGAGACACTTTATTTTTGATTAAAGCACCTTAGATGTGTGTAGTATTGGCCTATGGAAAGAGGAAAGCCGGCCCTGAGCGTTTCACACCGGCTGCAAGCCGACACGAAAAGGAATCAATATTACCACGGGATGGCATGATTGAGCGGCACAAGACCTACATCCCACATCCTACGCTTGAGCACATTCAGCAAGTGAAGATCTGCAGTTCTTCACTTATAGCACCTCTGATACTAATGAGGGTGCCCAGGTGATAAAGAGAGATGATTTATTAGCTTAAGGGCAGGCGTAGAATAAGTCTGAGTGCGTACCTAGGTAGTCAATTACCTTGTAGATCTCAGACTGAACCGTGCCGATCACATTGCAAAAACATATGCACCAATGCCGGGGCAGATAGGACCCCGAGATTGATTTTGATTGTTTGATTGTCTTTTGTGATTGATATAGAATGTTCCGAGCAGGTGCAAAGGCAGTTTTAAATCGCACCAAAGTCAAGCATGAAGCACCACTCTCATAAAACATGCCGCAATGAATTGGCAATTTTCATGTTGAAGACACCATGCAAATCAACACAAAACCTTACTTGTAGATAGCTTGCAACGATAACAAACGCCAAGAACTGAAGAGGGAGGGGTGAAGTAGACTATCGATTCCTCAATGGTATGCTAGTCTGACTGTCTCACCCATGGTTCCCTTCCAGAGCTAGCCCTGCATCAGCAAGGCACAGATGATCAAGCCATCGAGTATAATGGCGGGTTGCACAAGCTTTCATGGAATGGTACCCTCAAGCACCGCAAGAAATCCGGGTCAAGGCACGCCCATGATCGTGGGCTGAAGCGATCCATGCTTACCTATGTAGCTACCTATAGGTATCCGATATTCAAATTCGAGCATCATCGTTCCCAAATCCTGAGAACATGACAGTCGGTACAAGAGCCACCTAAAATTCATACTTTGTTCGTTTAGAACCCTTTTTGTTGGGAAAAGAAGAAGTGCCTAGCAATTTAGGAAGAGAACCCTAAGCAACTCTAGCCACAATGCGCTTTCTATCCTTTTCAACTTTGATAATGGCCGGTTTCACGTCCTCGTCTATTCTTGAGAGCATCGGATTTGCTGCGGTCGAGTCACAGAATTTACTAGGAAAGCATACCACTATGCTCCGTCGTCAGACGATGGGCAACGTGACCTGTCGCTTGAGTATGGGAACGGATATCTGGAGCTCTTGTGCCAGTTTCCTCTCTCAGTACAACATCTCACTCGACTATTTCATGGCAGGGAACCCGAGCATTGGTTCCGATTGCTCCAACTTCGTCCCGGGTGATACGTATTGTATCTCTTTGGGTACGTGAATGTCCTCTAGCCGGTATGCACGGCTACTAATCATATCTGACATCAAAAACAGAGCTCGGCAAACCGATTCCCGTATCCACAAATGGCATGTGTGGTGCGCAGCAAAATTATACCAGCACATGCATCGGAAGTCAGTGGGGAGACTGCTGCGGTGTTGGTGGCTAGTGTGTTTTGAGAGAATCCCCCCCCCCGGCCCTCGGACACGAAGGAAATGTGCTGACCTCACTCGTGAATAGTTGCGGTAGTGGTGAGGACTACTGCGGGTTAGGAAACTGTCAAGAAGGCACCTGTGACGGAGCTCCAATCCCTTACAGTACCGACGGCCTCTGCGGGAGCCAAAACCGTTGGGTCGAGTGTCCACCCAAGTTTGGACTGTGCTGCAGTGAGTTTGGGTTCTGCGGTAATGGGACAGATTTTTGTAGCGGTGGGTGCCAAAGTGGACCATGTACCAACTCGACAGCGACGACAACAACAACTAGTGTTCAGCCGACTCAAACACCCGGGTCCGTTTCCGCAGACGGGACTTGCGGCTATACAGGCGGCCTGGTCTGCAAAGGGTCCAGCTTCGGCGACTGCTGCTCCGCGGCAGGATTCTGCGGCTCAAGCCAGTATGCTTGCTTAGATATTTTAGGCTGGTAAGACTTGGCTGCTGTATGTTCCAATCTCTGGACGACCACGCTGACATTGTGATTTTCCGATAAGCCAACCTACCTTTGGGACCTGTGATATAACAGGCTACTTGAATACGACAAGCACAACTAGCCCAACCACCACGTCTACGTCCACACTGTCAACGCCCATTCCGACTCAAAGTGGAATAGCGGTAAATTGCAACCACATTGAGATCGCACAATCGGGGGAATACTGCTCTGAATTTGCTGATAAATGGGGTAATGTTCCTCTTTCACACCCTGCCAGTTCAATCCTTTGAGAAATGACGAAAGGAAGACATGCTTACAGAATTTTGCCAGCTATCACGACGGCACAGCTTTATGCCTGGAACACTGTGCTTGGTGCTAATGGTGAGAATTGCGGCTCTGACTTCTGGGCGGACGAGGGATACTGCGTTGGTGTGAGCAGTTGATGGAAATCTGATGGTGCCCGGTCAAGTTCGACAATGCGGCAAATGGAACCGAGCGTATTACGACCGCTGAATCGTGACCGTAGCTAGAAAGCAGAGAGAGATATATTGCAAAGAATCAAATACTATAGAGAGTGTGAGTGCATTTGGAGATCCAACTTTGGACTAGTCGAAGTAGCTAATAAATTACACTGCTCAACGGTTCAAGAGCATCTCTGGCGCAATGTAAGTACGTACATAGATACGTACCTACCTAAGGTAAGCGGCAGTGTAACACAAAGCCAAACCAATCGTTCAAGAGACACACCGACCCCGACTGCAGCCGCACATCCCAATTTCTCCTCTTCAAACCACCTTTATGAGCTAGTAGTATTCCTGACAATGGACCCGCCACCGATCTCAAGACTTTTACCAGAGCTTTTGCTCAAAGTTTTCAGCATACTTGCGCAGGACACTGACGCGACTGTGACTTCTTCAGTTCTTTGTTGCAAAAGATGGCGGCCTCTGGCACAGTCGGTACTGTACAGCGACGTCTTCCTCAATGGCGAGCGCCTCGTCAAATTTACAAATGCCAGCTGCTCTGACCACCAAATCCGGTCGCTTACACTTCACTTCGGTCCGATAATCGTTAATCAATACGACCCAAAGGATGCCATCGAGGCAACGGAGAGTTGGCTTAATACCCTGCGGAAGCTCGTGCCGCGTATCAGTTCAATGGGCAACCTCGAGTGTTTTTCGGTCTCAGCTGATTTGCCTATGCCATATTCGCCCTACGGAGAGCTCTCCGCTATCATCGAGGCACTGCCCACCACTTGTGTGGCCTTAGAAGTTGATTTGCGCCATAGTACCTTCGTCCAGCAGAAATTGGGTACTGCAACGGTCCTGCCAACATCCCACATGTGCGACTCGATTCGGACTGTGCTGGACAGGACTCATCATCTCCGACTGCGTTTGCCCAAGCTCTGCTCCGCGGTGTTTGGCGAGTATGACGCGATGGGCTATCACCCAGTTGGAGCGCCAAAACTCAAAGACTGCATCATCAATCTCACCCAGCGCGTACCTGGCACTTCTCCTCGGGTTTCACTGTCAGCCTCATGCGACTCTCCTAATGTCCCTCACATTGGGTCACAGAGTAGAATCACCCCAGTCCTACCTTTGCTCATAACTAATCTCCAAAGCTTCGCCCAGCTCAATCCAACATGTTGGCGGCTCTGGGTCATTGACTGCCAGGCAACCTCCAACCAGAGCAAGAACTCATGGGCTGCTTGGATCCGCCGAGACATCAGGTCTGACGCCAGCTGGCCCGTTCCTCTTGTCAACATCGGCGGCTTCCGCCAGGACGCTTGGCTGGCGAGGTTACCGACTATCAAATCAGAGCTCAACGTTGACGTAATTTCTTCGCCGGAGGTGCTGGAGGCTGCGGTGGAAGACTTTGCTTGGACCAGGGGTCAGACTGGGGTACGCCTGCCCACGCCCATCTTGGTGGCTCGGGGGTATCAGGGTGCACTCGACCCTCCACGCACCAGGGCGCAGCTTCAGGATGGAGAGGATCTTCTGTGTACCTTGTGGGAAAACGAGGCAATCACTGGAGAGACGTTGCTACCGTATGGACCCGGAGCACTGAATCAGTCGTGGGACTTGAACGAGAGGACACCGAGTGGATGGAGACGAGCCAACTTTGCAGGCTCGATCATGACCCGGCTTCATGAGTAATAAATGGCAAAGGTCAATGGAGAGAGGACACTGCTACGTACCTAGGTAGGTACCTAGGTACCACGGCTCGACCCGTAGACGTTTACGTAAGGTGCCGCCAGGGCCGGAAGGGTGCGGTCTACGCTAGCTTACGTAAACGCCCACGGGTAGCATCGCACATCTGCCGGATGGAGTAGACGAACAACAGAGCTCAAAGACTCGACATAGCAGAATCGTACGAGAGAATGACCAAAAATTAAGAATAGAGCAAAGGAAGAGATTAAAGGAACAGCAAAAGTGCGTAAACCCGGAATCGAACCGGGGGCCCATCGAGGTCTTGAGCGTTTATAACGCCTTTGGCAACGATGGATTTTACCACTAAACCATTTACGCTGGTTATGTCACATGATATGCGGTCCAAATTTTAACTTTATATACTTCAGAAATACATCATTCTAGGAATGCACACCCACCAGGTCAAGAATGATAACAATAAGTCCCACCACAACTGTGCCGGTACCCAACAAGCTTTGTTGACGATTAATTCGGCAATGTCACTGGCAGTGGTGGAAACAACTTGCTGGAAAGCGGCCATACCATAATCCCGCCCGAAGAGCTTACCTAGGTACCATTGGCGACCATGCTTTGCAAGTCAAGCCGATCAATGCTACCCTATGTGTTGAATACAACGATAATCATGTCCCTGATAAGGACGCTGACTTGGAGAAACATGATTACATGCTGCACAATCTGCATATGGAAGAGTGTTTGGTTGCGATGAAGCTTTGAAGCGTGTGGATAGGGACAGTGAACATGAGTCAGAGGTATGTGTAACTTACTACTATGCAAACTGGACGTGCGATTGAAGAATACTCATTGTGAACAATCTTCAATATATCCATACTAGTTGCAACTAGTGTTGTTCTCTGTCTGCCCAGGTGATCTGTTCGCCAAATAGTGACAATACTGGAAACATCTACAAAGGTCTGATGATACAATCATAAATCGATTTAGTACAATGTCGCATACAGTTTTGCTGCTTCAAATCCAAAAAGAGATCTTGACATGTCTGCCACTAATCGCACTACGCAATAAATGCGCTCAAGTGCTGCATATACTTGTCCCGCTGATCCACATGAGTGAAATGTGCAGCGTTGTCCAGAGTGATCCATTTAACCTTCTCAATATTTTCAAAGAACGGTTGCATTGCCACATCCTGAGCCTCGTCCTTAATACCATTGATTAAAAGTGTAGGAGCTTGGATCTTGCTTAAAAGGGGGATACACGACCAATCGCGAAGGGAGCCTGAGATATAAAGCTCACTTGGACCATACCTAGTACATGTCTTATTAGCTTTGCATTCACAGGAAATCGGAACCCTTACATCGTGCTGTAAGTTGTGGCATCTTTGGCAAACCAGTCGAGCGCTGCCTGAACCTCCGGCGCTGGCCACGGCCTAGCGAGGCTCAAATGCCTCTTATAGAAGACTTCAACGGCAGCCTCATACTCAGGACTCTCAAAGTCTTTATTTGCTTCAGCAGCGTCAAGCACCTTTCGAACATCCGCTGGCAGCTTTGCTCTCAAAGCGCTAATGCCTGCCCGCCATGCGTCCATACTAGCCAGACTATTCGAAATGATCAGCCGACGAAGATTTTGAGGACGTTCGGCAGCCCAGTGCGCCGCCAGCATTCCACCCCACGAGTGCCCGTATATATCGATGGGCCTGGACTTCAACTTGAGGTGCAAGAGAAGGTTGTCCAGCTCGGCCTGGAATAAGCTGATCGACCAGAAGTCCTCGTCGCCGGCTTTGTCGGGCAGATGCGTCGACCTTCCGTTGCCAATCTGATCGTAGAAAACGATTGGTGTGCTTTTGGTCGCCGAGAGGTCGGTCAACGGGAGCAGATATTCGTGACAGGCGCCAGGGCCGCCATGTAGCACAATAAGAGGCGTTGCTGAGGAGGGTGTTTGGCTGAGGCTGCCGAAGATCTTATACCAGGTCTGACAAGGAAATGACAAGCCTGGAACGTGAAAGGGTGCAAAACCCTCTGTCACTTCGATTTGCATGATCATCGATAACGCCTTTTTCTTCGACGTTCAGTGGTGCAGCAGGAAGATGAAGCTGTGGACGAAGTGGGAGGGGCGCTGCTATTATGACCTTTTGACGGCAAATAGAGTAATATACCTGCGGCACAGCTGCTGTCATCATTGCGGGGAGCCAATCACGAATTGTGTATCTCAGGTACCTAGGTAGATTAAGCACCGCGTCCTGTCCTCTGTACATCACAGTGTTACTTAATACTACCATAGCTGTTACTTGACCTTACCGGACGCCCCTGTACTGTCCAGCACAATTCCAATAGTAGTATATATTCAACATCATGCGCAGAACCTTACCATCGTTTGCTTGATTCACTACTTGCATGAAGACCCTCCTTTCATCTCTGGCGGAAAGCCTTTGAATTGAAAACGACCCTTCGAGGGAAATATATCACGCCAGGAAGAGGATGTCGGACGCCTTCAACATACAGTTCGTTGCCAAAGTGACCGAATCCGCGGAGTCAGTATCAGTAACACCATAGATGCCAACCACAATTCCCACGATTGATACCAACGAGATAGCGGTGAACGCTTTCGGATGGATTACCTGGGAAAAGATTGCCCTATTTGGCGAGATCATTCAATTTTGTGGCCTTGATATTCTATCCTCTCTTAGGAGCAACTTCAGGTATTCCGATTGAACAGATCGATGTTTTCAACGACGTTCTAGCAGATGAGAGCGCCTCCATATGCCGCGTTGGTTAGATTGTGAAGAGAAAAAAGCTGAAGCACGCAGCGAGAATACGTAGGAGCGAGAAGGTGATCAATGCGACCCAGCATTCCGCACGGCAGTATCTGTACAGTAAGCACTGCGAGATACCACAGTTTGAGTACCCCAAAGAGGCGAGCAGTTCAACCATGGCAACGCCATCTCGGTAGGTGGAGAACACAGGGCCCATCCAACTCATAGGTTATCGCTCTTGAATGACCTGCATTGGTGACTCTAGACAGGCTTGGCGAAGGCGAAGGAGAAAGAGTCAGCTTGGAGGGGAAAATAACTATAAGTTGCAAATAAAAGTCGGATGTGGTACTACACGAGTGGCGACTCACCATCTAAAGAATCCGCTGCGGCCTTGAGCAATTTGTATGCCTCGGCATAGAATCCACAGTCCTGCAGAATCTTCTCGCCCTCGTCCGGGTTGTCATTGTCCTCGGCCTCCTGGCGGGCCATCTCAAGGGGACTCGGATATCTTGGTCCTGGCAGTCGTGGATCAGCACCGCGCGCGAGCAAAAGCTCTATCAGCGGAAGGTTCAAGCGAATAACCTTTGGCGGACCCCAGGCCATATAGCCCCCAAGGCAACAGTGGAGTGGACGTCCGAGGCCTCGATGGACGTTCAATTCGTGGTCCAACTCGTTGGGATCAGCGCCGGCATCTAGAGCGGCTGTCATGTTGGCCAGCCTCAGCTCAAGTGAACTTGTCGAGTAGAGAGCTTCCCAGTGTAGCGGTGGCTTCTTGCAGGACACCCAATTGACGCATGCGTCGGCGGGTGGCTCGAGACCAGCTGCCCTCCAGCTCGCATGGCCCTGCTGCTGCTCCTTAGCCGAATGTGAGATGTTGGCGCTCATCTGCTTGTTTGGAGCCCTAACTTCTGTGGACAGTGTAGCCTCGCCCATGGATATTGTCGTCTACCGAATCCCCGGGTCTGGCAGTAAGGTGCACAGTAAGTCGAACCTTGAGACTGTTTCAGTGCTACTGTGAAATTTTCATCGCGGAACTATGTTCTTACCTAGGTAGTGCGTGGTGAAGTTGTTTGAAAGAAGATGAGGCTTCTTCCCAAGGTTGTCGATTATGCAGGCAACCAACATATGTACCTGAGTACTAGGTTCAAAGCGGGTAGTCTCCTATAGGGATAGCGCGTGTTGGCTCTTGCAGAAACGGCCCCCTGCGTGGCCTTCTCGAAAGTAGGAGGATATTTGAGGTTCCCGGAGGTTCCCAAGCATGAGAGGGCTGATGAAGGTTACCACACTCCATTATTTCCCTCCGTGCCAGGCCGTATGCCACTATTAACCTGCACAGTCACTACCTTAGTTAGTCAGTACCCTCGCCCAAGTGTCAATGTGAAAGAAAGTCAACTAGTCGGCCGCCCGAAAAAGGTACTCATCCAATATATGCTGCTTTCCGAGTCCGTGAGGAGTAATATGCATACCACACCTGGGCACTTGGCCCTCCAAGACCATCAAATTATTTGCCGCAAGGCCAACGCCATGGACCCCGCCTCCGAAACAACAAGCGCACCAGAGACCAATACTACAGCCTGTACTCTTCCCAAGCCTCGTCTTGGACGCGTTAGGTAGGTAGGCGCAGCCCTGCATAACAGGTAAGTATACCGCCGGTTGAATTCCTCCACGCGAAGTGTATGATTGTATGGGGCCACGTTGTGCGTGCATGCTGACATGCATTGGGATTGCTAGCCAGCGTAGGTATGTGCACCGAGGATCTGCTCGATGCCTACCCGAAGCTTTGCGTGAGTCTTTCCCTCTTTATCTCCGAATGCCTGCTTTGCACATTTTGTCGAGTCCAAATTGAAGAAGGCGACCTACCTTACCATGACGAATTTGCGATACACATACGCGCCATTGGATCACGAGACCAAGAGCATCCGACTTCTCTGCTTCGAAAGACGAGATGATTCCCGGTCTTTGCTAGGTTGCAAACTTGAGACCATCGATATAGATCACTGCCCTCCGTTCATAGCAGTTTCATACACCTGGGGAGATCCTGAACCTTCCCACGACATATCCCTGGACGGAAGACTCTTCTCCGTTCGAGAGAATCTATACTCTGCGTTGTCTGTGTTTAGGCACAGCTCAAGAGCACCGTCCAGGGCTTTGACCATCCACATAGACACCGATAAAATTCTGGATTCTTATGAGGCAGGCGTAATATCGATGGATTTTGCCCTATCCGAATTGGAGGACCTCTTGCATGGACAACAAATTTGGACAGCTATGTCAAGGTCTGAGTTAAAGGAGAAAGCTCGCGTGGCTTTGAGGAATTGGGTTCCCCTGGGAAACCGAGAAGAAGTGCATGCAGACATTCGCTCCACTCTCCGAATCCAAAAGCAATTCGATCATGACTTCGAGACCGGCTATGAGTACGTTAGATCGAGCGACGCGGGTACGTCGAAGTCGACAGCGCGATGTACTTATTACTGGATAGATGCCATCTGCATCAATCAGTACGATAACTCGGAGAAGGGCCATCAAGTCAACTTGATGGGCACGATATACACGCAAGCGGCCTTGGTATTCGCTTGGCTTGGCCCATCCACGCCAGAATCAGACCGAGCGATGC